TCTCATTGAAGGGGTAACAAACTCTTAGCAGGTCAGCTAAAAAGACTGACGGTTCTTATCTGCAAGGTGGGTCGTGGGGCCCGGATTATATCATCCCTAAGGCCCTTCCCAGCTGGGCAATTCCATGATTTCTCTTCCCCCGATTTTCAGGAAGTGACGCAGCTGCTTATGGGTGGCAGAGACACCCTTAAAGTCTAGAAGGTCTTCTCCCACGCAATTCCTCCTCCTCTTAAAGCCCTGCTCTACATGTGTAATCATCTGTACAATGTAGCACCTGCTGTACTTACGGAATCCAAGGGAGGCGTGGGGAAGCATCTAGCACAGTGGTAGCTGTTATGTTGGTTATCTTGTCACTAGTACTGATCAGGAGTCACCGTGGTTAAAAATACTTGCTGCCACCCAAAAGTCCAGCTTGTCCAAGGAAGGAAGCTGTGGTAGTCTGGTTCCGTAAAGATTCACAGCCTGAGACTCCATGGGGCACTCTGTTCTGTAGAGTTGATGTAAGTCAGAATCCACCTGACAGCAGTGGGTTGTTCGGGGGTTTTGTTTTCATGAGGAGTCCATATAGTATGGTGTGGTATATTATAACAATAGTCTAATATAGTATTGTATTAGTATACGTAGAGATCAATCGCTGGAGGAGGACTTCATGCTTGGTAGAGGGTCAACAACAAAAAGAACAAGAGGAAGATTCCCAGTCAGCTCAATTGACACAGTGGCTGCAGCAGTGGGCTCAAACATCACCACCACTGGGAAGCTGTCTCCTGAAATGAAAAGAAAGGCCGGCAGCGGTTCGTTCTGTTGCATGTAGAATCACTCCTGAGTCAAAACCTACATAAAAGCACCCGCAACAATAACATGGCGGTCTGAAGATGATAGAAAATCACAGGGGCAGGGTGGGTGGGGCTTCAAAAAGTTCGTGCAAAAATTCTATCATCTTTGGATCCCATCCTTCCATGAACTTTTGGAAACCCCTTCATCTAGCGCACCTAGCCCGATGGCTGCCCTGTCCCGCGTGCGCAGTCAGTGGTTGGGTAAGTGGGGGGTGAGAGAGTGCGTTTCATGATAAACGGAGATTTATTTTCACGGTGGCCTCAGAGCCTGAAGTGTCATTTCACAGAGGTGGCGCATACTCTTGAATGAAAGCAGTGGGCATCTCTACAGAAAAAGACAGAAGCTTCCGAGTTGGGCCATTCAATGCACATCTGGGAGGGGAGGGAGACCGGCGAGCACTCAGGACTTGGCTCCAGCAGAGTCTCCTACCAGCTCACAGGGCTGTGGTTCATTTAGAAAAGCCCGTTGGCTCGCTTGGTACCACTTTCTTTGAAGTGCGGTCGTTGGAGGTGTGAGGGCTTGCTTTGCTAGAATGATGACCATTACCTGAGAGTCAGCGGAGGTAGAAAGCAAGCTCCTAGAGCCATGTGCCCCCAAAAGTTTGGTGGCGGGACTGGAAGGTGAACACTCTCTCATGGTCACTTGTCTCTTCGAGGACACATGGCACTTGGCACGCAGTTTTCCAGAGGATAAACCAACGTGTAGATGCGCCTGTTGCCATATATGCTGAAACTACTGCCCTGCGGATCTGTCGACACCTGTTAAGGGGTCACCTGTTAAGGTGGTGCTGCCCTCAAGCAGGGACCTGACACCTAGGCAGTACTCAAACCAGTGGCCTCCAGAAAGGGGGCTACTGACAACTTAACTTCCAGCCACAGTTTTTAAAAAATTATCTACAAAGTCCAAGACACTAACACACAGCCACTGGCTGATTGTATGTGAAATATGTGTATTATTTTCATGGATGTCAGTCTGCCCCAGAAGTGAATTCATATCTCACGGGCATGCCCTCAAGCACTACAGTGGTTTTTGACAGGCGAGCAGGCAGGCCGTGAATGCTCCGACCGATGTCTTGTTCTGTTTGAGTGACTTCCAGCTTTTAAATGTGTGAATTTCCTTTGGAATGTTCTAGGGGAAAGCCATGGTCTTCGCCCCGCTCCGAGGGAACACCGTCAACCAGTTTTGCAATCTAGCCGGAAAAGCGGGTTTCTCTGTCCAAAGACATGAACATTATGATGAACACATTTCAAACTTCCACTCCAAGGTTAGTTTTCTGTTCGTGTTAGATAACGCTTTAATCCACATTGCAGTTTGAAGCGATCGTGGTCTTTTGGCAGGTAACCTCAGTATTTGATTAAAGGACTCCTTAGTGGTGCTGCTTCTGAACAGCTATTTGTATCGGATTCTTTGGTGGGGAAAGCCACCTTTTATCTCTGTGTGTCTCAGAGAACTTTACAGAAGCCATTCCTGTTGACTCCTTTCTCTGAAACAAACTAACCTTTTCATTCACAAGAGATTCATTTGTAAGATGCAGGGAAGCTGGCGTAGAGCGAATGATAAACATGCATTTATAGTTTAATGAAAACCCTTCAGCTTTTAAGTAGGTTAAACGCTTTAGCGGCACTGAAAAAAATGAAGGTGAATGTCTAATTGTATCATGCTGGACTGTACGTCTTTATCTCTGCCGGCTTTATGGCTGGGTCAGTTGGCAGTTTGAGACTGCTAACCCGCACACAGAAGTTCACAGTCGTGGGGTCGTATGTCAGAGCGAAGCGCTACAAGATTTAGGTCAAAAGCACTTATGTGAGAGTGATTTCTAAGCTTGCTTACATAAAAGCAATGTTATCAGCCTTTTTATTATTTATAGGTGTGGAGCCATATAGGACAGTGAGAGGCAAGTGTATCACCGAAACTTTTTAGGAATCTCACGTTTGTTAATACACGCACGTCACCGTGACTAAGATAGCATGTGTTAGCTCTGTAATTTTGTGCCTTCTAGAAATCTCCCTTAGCTGAGCTCATCTGACCTTGGCAGGCGACTTTGGCTTGTCTTAGTTTTGCAACTGTGACTGCGGGGGAAGTACAGCTCCAAGCCTGAATTTTCTCCTGGACAAGGTAGTCATAGAGCTCTTCATTGCCCAGGATCGTGGTGTCATGGAGAAGTGGGTTGGCTTTCAGACAGTGATAGGCAAAGAATGGATCTGATCTTCTGGGTCAGAGGGAAGAAATGCTCACTTTGGGGAATGGTGCTGAGGCGAGAGAGGAGGGAAGCCACACTCACTGTAGGCAGTTAAAAGATGTAGGTGGTTTTCTCTCGTGAGTGGAATCTGGCCCATTGCTTACAATCAGAAAAATCCAAAGGGGAATGGCATGTGTAATTCAATTTTTACCTGCTTTTCTTTTTGAACCCCTCCCCAGAACAAAAGGACCAGCTCTGAAGGCTGTACCTGGTAGGAGGCAGGGGGAATGGAGGATTTCTGCTGTCCACCCACCACCACCC